CCGTCGTAGGCACCTGTGAGTTCCTTCAGGGATGAAACCTGGGAGGGAGGAAAGAGCCACACGTCGGGGGTCAGTGCAACCCAGCCATGGCAGCACTCCATGGCCCCACCAACCCATCCCGGGTCGTTAGGGTCTCCCACTACCGCCCGTGTCCCTTCTGCTGCCGTGTGGCAGGAACAGCCCCCAGCCCAACAGTCAGGGACTACGTACCTTGATGCCAAGTGCTTCTAGGCTGCGTTCAATGTTCTACAACAAGAAGACAATAAAATCAAAGCAGGTGTTGGCCTGCTCCTGCCATGGGGGCTGTGGAAGCTCTTCCATCCCCCAGTACTGACATCCCAGTCAGGGTCAGGGGGCACTCACCACTGCAGTCCCAGGGTCTCCACGTGCTCCAGGGTTGCCAGGTCGTCCCTAGGTTTGCAAAGAAGGAATTAAAAGATGTGCAGAGGTGCAGTAGGTGAGGTAAGCAGTGCTGATGCCACCCTCAGTAGGTTTCAGAGTTAACACTCCGGCTGCTGCCCAGGCAAGGGGCACCCTGGCGTGCTTGGAAGCTTGTCAGGTGCAGTGCTGTGTACTCACCGGCTCCCCTTGCAGACCAGGCTCCCCTGGGTCCCCCTAAAACACAGCAAAGGCATGAAGGGGGGCAGAGCCAGGCTGCCCAGCACTGACTCCAGCGCCAGGGTCCAGCCCTGCCAGCAAGGGGGCAGGGAGTCCCACCAAGGACTCATCCCCTCTGGCACATGATCCCCCAGACCTTTGTTTTGGGGAGGCTTGGGTGCAGGAGCATACCTACCTTTGGTCCAGACACTCCACGGAGGCCCGGTGAGCCCTAGAAGATGCAGAGGGCATACAATGGGTCCCAGCACCCATGGACACAGGACAGTGCCCCAAGGGAGCCATGGGCAGTGGTCCTGCCCGCCCCACAGCAGCCTGGACTCCGGGGTCCAGTGTTGGGTGGCACCGTGGGCTTGAGGACAACTCACCTGGCCTGGGGGACCGACCTGTCCTGGGATGCCAGGGAGACCAGGTGGGCCGAGGGGGCCTGGCAGACCCCTGTCTCCCTGCTCGCCCTTGGGACCACTGTGGCCCTGCCAAGAGAGCAGCGTCATCCCCAGAACCCGGGTGTCCAGGTCTGCTCCCAGGGCAGAATGTACCCAGCACCCCCCATCCTCACACTCCTCTGCAGGGAGTACTCACATCTCTGCCAGGAGGTCCTGCATCACCCTTGTCGCCCTATCCAGGAGGGAAAGGAGTTTAGGGATGCTGTCCCAGCTGCATGGCCCAAAATGATGCTCCTGGACCCGGGCAGAGAGGATCCAGAGGATTTGTGGGGACCATGCAGGGACCGTGCAGGGACCACAGGCTTGACTCCTTACCTTTCTCCCGTCCTCTCCTGGGGTCCCGTCTTCTCCCTGGGGACACAGGCAGCCAGTCAGCCCCCAACCCTACCACCCTGGCATGGGCACCGCGTGGGACAGGGACAGGCACCGGGGACACGGCTCAGAGCGCAGGGGCTCTCTGACACATCCTCCCCTCGCCCTTATGGCAGATTGAGGTCACTGGCCCTCAGGACCCCC